GCAATCAGCCATGGACGCAGAGATGGCTTCCTGGAAGTCCACAGGCACCTACGTCGACGAGGTTCCCCCACCTGGGGCGAACATCGTCAGTGGCATGTGGATTTTCAGGGTGAAGCGGCCGTCGGGTTCTCTGCCTGTCTTCAAGGCGCGTTACGTGGCTCGAGGCTTCAGTCAGCGGCAGGGAGTTGACTACTTTCAGACCTTCTCTCCCACCCCGAAGATGACCACTCTTCGGGTGCTGCTGCACATAGCCGCTCAGCGCGACTACGAGCTTCACTCTCTTGACTTCAGCACAGCTTTCTTGCAGGGCAGTCTGCACGAGGAGATCTGGCTGCGCCGCCCACCTGGCTTCACTAGGTCGTTTCCTCCTGGTACCCAGTGGAGCCTCCAGCGGCCAGTCTACGGTCTCCGCCAGGCGCCCCGTGAGTGGCACGACACACTGATGACTACACTTGCGGCTCTTGGGTTTGCTCCTTCTACTGCCGACCCGTCGCTGTTTCTACGCACCGACACCTCTTTGCCTCCGTTCTACATCCTCGTGTACGTCGACGACTTGGTCTTTGCCACTGCCGATACTGCTGGACTCGCCCACGTGAAGTCCGAGCTGCAGAAGAGACACACGTGCACAGACCTGGGTGAACTGCGCAGCTACCTTGGCTTGCAGATCACCCGGGACAGAGCACAGCGCACCATTACCCTGACTCAGTCACACATGGTGCAGCAGGTCCTTCAGCGCTTCGACTTCACGTACTCCTCGCCTCAGGCCACTCCTCTGTCTACTCGCCACTCGCTTTCAGCTCTGCCTTCGGATGAGTCCGTAGAGCCGAGTGGCCCGTACCCAGAGCTTGTTGGCTGCCTCATGTACCTGATGACCTGCACTCGACCTGACCTTGCATACCCTCTTAGCATCTTGGCACGCTATGTTGCTCCTGGGTGACACCGACCAGAGCACATGGCTGCAGCGAAGAGGGTGTTGCGCTACTTGTGCAGTACGTCGGGCATGGGGCTAGTGCTTGGAGGGCGGCGTTCAGTGGTCCTCACAGGTCACGCAGACGCTTCTTGGGCTGACGACCAGGCTACGCAGCGGTCGTCACAGGGTTACACCTTCAGCCTTGGTTCCGGCTCTGTTTCGTGGCGGTCTACCCGCTCGTCTTCTGTTCTCGGCTCCAGCTGTGAGGCTGAGATCTACGCCACAGCCATGGCTGCACAGGAGCTACGCTGGCTCACCTACCTGCTGACTGACCTAGGAGAGCCGCCTCGTTCTCCTCCAGTTCTGTACGTAGACAACAAGGCCATGCTGGCCTTGTGTCGGGAGCACAGACTGGAGCACAGAACGAAGCACATTGCTCTTCGCTACTTCCTTGCTCGTGAGCTGCAGCAGCGTGGTCAGCTGCGTCTTGCTTACGTGGCCTCTCAGGCCAACACTGCTGATATCTTTACCAAGGCACTTCCGCCTTGTGATCATCAGCGCTTTTGTACGATGCTAGGTCTTGTGCCTACTTGGCCTCACTTGCTGACTTCTTGACCTTGCTTGTACTGTGATCTATCTATACCTGCACTTGCTTGTTTACCTTTATATATGATCTTGCATGTGAACTGGCCTTGAACTTGTGCTCGGAATGTGTGGTGACGTTGTGATCCACCCTGAACTTGCTTTGCCTTGCTTTGCTTGACTGGTCTTGTGACCCCTTGCTCTCCCCCACTTTGCCTATGGGGGTGTGTCAGACTTATATGATCTAGCCTGTGTAGGATGTAGCGGGTTAGATACTAAGGGGTACACAACTCTAGGGTTTCACATTTGTATCACACTCATTCCTTAGTCATTCATTCCTCGTTCTTTCACAAGGCCTGCGCGTGTGCATCGACTATCGAGCGTTGAATCGGGTCACAATCAAGTTGCGTTACCCGATCCCACGAGCGAACGACCTGCTGGATCAGCTTCGCGGGGCTCGCTTCTTCTCGAAAATCGATTTGCAAGGTGGCTACCATCAAATTCGCGTGTTCGCCGACGACTGCCCGAAGACTGCATTTCGCACCCGTTACGGCAGTTACGAATATACTGTGATGCCATTCGGGTTGACGAACGCACCCTCGACTTTCGAGCTCACCATGAATGGGGTGTTCTGGGACATGCTGGACAAAAAAGTTATTGTTTACCTGGACGACATCCTGGTGTACAGCAAGACTCGGGAGCAGCATTTACAGGACTTAGAGGAGGTGTTCCAGCACTTGCAGCAGAAACAGTTGATTACTAAGGGCTCTAAGTGTGAGTTCTTACAGTCGGAGCTAGAGTTCCTAGGGCACGTGGTTTCGGGAGAGGGGATTAAAATTGATCCTCGCAACGTAAAAGCGATTTCAGAGTGGAAGTCGCCCGCGAACATCACGGAGTTGCAGAGTTTCCTCGGCTTCGTTAACTACGTCCGCCGTTTTGTACCGAATATGGCGGGGGTAACCAGGCCGTTAACCGATCTTCTGCATAAGGGCGTGCAATTTGGGTGGGGGGAGAGAGAGCAGCTGGCCTTCGACGAGCCACCCGAACGACCGTGGCAACATGTGACAATGGACTTTGTTACCGGACTGCCAGCTAGCGCAAGTGGCAACGATTCGGTGTTGGTCGTCGTCGACCGCTTAACGAAAATGGCGCATTTCGCACCATGCCGCACGACGATCACAGACGAAGAAATAGCAAAGCTTTTCATCTCGACCGTCGTGCGACTACACGGGTTACCTTCGGCGATCATCAGCGATCGGGACCCGAAATTTACGTCGAAGTTCTGGCAGGAAACATGGGCACAGTACGGCACCCGCCTGCAGTTTTCGTCGTCATACCACCCGCAAACCGACGGGCAGACTGAGAGGACCAACCAGACGATGGAGCAGTTGATTCGCACGAACTGCCCCGATATCTCCAAGTGGGAAGATTCGCTTCCCATGCTCGAATTTGCGTACAACAACGCCCCGTCTGCGACGACCAATCAATCGCCGTTTTACCTCAATTACGGGATAGATCCGGTGGTACCCTCTTCAACGACTCCTGACAATCCGGTACCACGGTCGCAGCAGTTTGTTTCGGAACTTCAAGCAGCACGCAACAAGGCAGCGGAATTCATACGAAAGGCTAATACTACCGCCAGCCGCTACGCCGACCGACATCGACGGAACTTACCCTTCCGTGACGGGCAGATGGTTCTCCTGGACACGAAGAATCTCTGACTGCCCCAGCCTGCAAAATTGTGTCCCCGCTACGTGGGACCATTCCGCATCATTCGGATGTTGACCCCAGTCACGGCGAAACTTCTCCTACCGGACGACTGGAAGATCCACGATGCTTTCCACGTCAGTCTGCTTCGTCACTACATGGCTCCGCAGCCGTCCGACGTCGCTCGACCCAACATCGCGCCAAGTGTCCGACCTGTGGCAGATCCGACACTTCAACCCTGGAAGATTCTGAATCATCGCATTCGTGCGACCCCCGCTGGCCGCCACGTCGACTTACTCCTACGCTGGGTGGATCGCACAAGTGAAGATGACACATGGGTCCCGGCTGATTCACTGCAAGGCCACTCGGTACTCCGGGATTATCTTTCCCGCCGACGCGTGCCTGATATTGACCACCTTTCTTAAGGGGGGGGGGGGGGGGGTAGTGTAAGGAATTTTGCTAATTCCTTACTGAGGCAGCCTTTAGGACTTTTAGGCTAATTCCTTACAATTCCAACTTTCGGACTTCAGGCTCGGTCCGTCGACCTCGCCTTCCGAACGTCCCCCGCGTTGCCTTCGGGTTTCCCACACCCAAACCTGCACCCAACCTTCGCGCGAATCCGCGACCTCGGCCTAGATAGCTCTGCTATATTAGAGCGTATTCCTACGGGGCCACCTCGTATCAAGAATGGAATTGACTTATGTTTACGGTATAAAACACCTTATATCAAGAATAGACCCAACCAGTGCACCAATGAGAATGCTCGCACACCCAGAAGTGAATGTGCTTATTTACCGACGCACGGTTCCAGTTGACGTGAAAACGTCAGCCCTGTGAATGCGGCCGACAAACATTCATGCGAAACTGCACACGGTGGCAGTCGTGCGCCGCGCGCGAACGTGCAGAGTGTGCAAACTTTTCGTGTCACCTCCCTTGTCAGATGCATAGCGACTCGTACACCATTCCCACCCTATGCTCTCGTGGCACGTTTTTTATGTTCGTCGGGGCGCTTGTTCATGCTGGGTCGCAACATGCCACATCAGTTTTTGATTGGAGTCGCACATGTGGGTTAAAGCCGTGGCCCAACTATCAACTTCAACTTCAAAGTATTATAGCTTGGAAGAGGTTGACCCAGGCAGTTCAGAGCCGAGAAGTTTGTCCTCTACTGGTTTTCCAGTTTTTTCGTCCAATAGAATTCAAGTTACTCACATGCCATTTTTGTCCCCCTACTGTTCCTAAGAAGTTGCACCCCGCCTTTAACTGGCAACTTTTCCTGATACGAGGTTTTGGCGAGGTTGTCAATTTACAGGCAGGAGGACCATTCTTGATACGAGGTGGCCCCGTAGGAATACGCTCTTATGCCTAGGCCTCGTCGTTTGCTTAGTAGTTGTAATCACTTCCGCGTTATTGAATACTGCGCATTCTTCTTTCATAATAACCTAGCTTCTTGGTTACTCGCTTCAAAGAGTTACACGATTGGACAAGTGCTTCTCGGGATGGGTTGATTGACGTGTCTCACGCGTTAGAGGGAAAGCCACCTGTCGCTTGGACTCCACGGAATTGCTTTTGACTATGGGCCACGATGTTCCGCACAGCACTTGAAAAGTAGTCGAATTTGGAGCATCTACAATGAAAGGTGCGGCCCGCTGGCGCTAGCTGGTTGTGCTGAGTTCATTTTTTCAGGGGTCGAGTGTCCCATCAGTTTGTTCGGCTCACCATTTTTTACGTTGCAGACCGCGTGACTTCGATTTTCGCGATAGAAGGAGCTTGGTCCGACAGAAGCTGAGGAGTGAAAGCTGTCATGATGGAGGTGGGGATTCGTTACTTTTTTATATTCCTGCCCTAGATTTATGTTCAGACTCTAAGCCACGGGTTTGTTGCCTTCAGAAGTCCGTTAAGGTTTTCAACATCTCCGCTAAAGTCACTAATCAGGATATTGTTGACTTCTTCAAATTTGCCGGAGTCGTTTCCTCCGCAGTTTTCAAATCGTGAGTTACGCAGGAGTCTGATCATGGAATTTTGGTAGTGCACGCTATCCTGAACGAGACACTTTCTGGCCGTTTATTATTCTGCGTTATTATTGCAGGGATGAAGCATCGACATACCCTACAAAAAAGTGTGCAATTTTGACGTTTACGGATGGAAACGCAGTTGAGGCTTCACTGTTGCTTTCAGTGAGTATTGATATTCCAGTAGAGGAAAGAACAATCATGCTCGGTCTGCTTAGTCCTAACAAGAATTGTTGCGTCACATCCAGGGAACTGTCATTGGAGACCAGCCGATCCATGTGTTACGCCTTTCGGACGAGGATTACCATGATTTTGCCTCCCAAGAGGTGCGGAAGAAAACCATGTCACTAGAAGCTTGCGTCTTAAATAGCGAGGACAGATCATCCTGACTTGTCGTGTCTTGTGTGTGTGGCAGGCAATGGTGATTACGGCTGGAGTTCTCAGTTCAACAGAACCGACTCACAAATCTGAATCTGTCGTTGCGTCTCTGCTTGCCTCTGGTTATTTGCTGAGTAAAGACGCACTGGAGAAGGCGAGAGCGTTGGACGAAAGTCATGGCATCAGCCAAACTGCATCGACTAGTATGGCGGCTGTGAAAGAGAAGACTGCAGCTACTGCTGCTGCCCTTGACAAGAGGTTTAACATCTCTGAGAGGATGAGTGGCGCGTCTGCTTCTGTCAGCAACGCGTTCTCCTCAGTGGATAACACATATCATGTGTCTAGTAAGGCGAAAGCGGCTGCAGCAACGGCAGAGGCGTCCCTCTCACAGGCTGCACAGCACGTGATGAAGAATCCATACATTGCTTCTGGAAGGGACTGGATGGTGGGGACTTTTGAGCGTGTGAAACAGCAGACACTTGAGCAAGTAAAAAAGCCAGCAGCGTAACAACCAGAGCATGCTTCCAGTTCACATGGTAGTACATAGTTGCACGCAAGCATATGTTGACTGTACTCAAATCTTTGTTGTACTAGTTACATGCAATGGCAATGGCATGAATTTGTGTGATACTGCTGTAGTGCAAATTCTAGCTGTGAAGCTTTGCAGCTGAGTGTGATGCAAACACTAAGGCGAACGCAGTGTTTATTCAATTCACAATGTCGGAACCTCAAATCTCTCCACCCCATATTTGTTCTCTGCGATCTGGGTAGTTCTGGAACAATAAGGCAGGAATGCGGAGCCGATAATATCATGACAGTCTTTATCATGACAGGTTTTATCAAGCACCAAGGCTCGTAGAGCGAACCTTTCTAAACAGTTCCTTCTATCACCTCCGACGTATATGCGACATGCCGCGCCACAAGTCTCGGGGAGCGGCTGGAAATTCTCCGGGCAGGTCTCAGCTGCGGAAAGCCGGCACAAATGATCGCACGCGAAGCCCTGCGCGGAGCCCTGCGCGCGGGCGGGGCGGGCGCGGCAGCGAGAGCGGTGCGGGTGCTGTAAGGGCCGGAAGAGGGGGAGGTGGCGGAAAAGGCGGGGTTCGCGGAAGAGGCGGAGGTAGCGGAAGAGGCGGAGGTAGCGGTCGAGGGCGCGGAAGGGAAGGGTACAGCGGCAGAGGGAGGGGCAATGGCACACCGAGGGGACGGGGGAGGGGACGATCAGGCGGAAGGGGGGAAGGCGGGCGCGGCAGTGGCTGGCGGGATGCCGCAGCGGAATTGGATGAATTGGAGGGGGAGGATGAAGCGGAGAAGCAGAAGGAGGATGAGGAGGATGAGGACGAGGCGCGCGTGCGGCGCGAGAAGGTGTCGTTAAAGCCGCAGATTCGATCCATCAAACGGCTGCTGAGCAAGGTGCCATGCTCGAGTTAGATGCTCGAGTCGAGGCGAGATTAGGGGCACCGACGGGCGCGATCTTCTCATAGGCGCAGTGTCTGCATTTCCCGTCGGTACTGTTAGGACAATCCGAACCCATCAGCTCGCTCCGCGCGATCCGCACGATCAGCCAGTACCTTTAAACCCTGTACCCGCGTCCGTTTCCCGTCCGTGGTGCGGCTGCAGCAAGGTGCTTAACTAGCACCGCAATGACGGATGCGGATCGAGAGATAGGGGACTGATCGTTCCGCTTCTACTTCTCCCCTTCCTTTCCCCCCGTTCCCCTTTACCCGCACCCACTCTCCCACCCACACACACCCAACCCCCCAACCCCACCCTCCCCCTCCCCCTTCTCGCTGCAGGTGGATCTCCCCCCCGAGGCGCGGCAGCAGCAGGAGGCAAAGCTGGCGGAGCTGCAGCGGCGGGACGCGGAGCGCGTGCGCGCGGAGAAGCGGGCCGCGCTGGCGCGCAAGCTGGGGCAGAAGTACCGCATGGGGCGCTTCTACGGTGCGCAGGGGGAGAGGGGGGACGGGGGGATGGGAAGGGGGAAAGAGAGGGAGCGTGTGAAAGTGGGTGGGATGGCGGGTGGAGGGGGGAAGGAGACAGGGGGAAAGAGGGGATGAGGGGTAGGGGGAATGGGCGAGTGCAGAGGAGAGAGCAAACGTGCATGAGGAGAAGTCAGCTGGCAATCAAAAACTTGTTCGAATCAATGTGATAGCTAAAAACCTTTCTCCCACTTCCGTTCCCCATTTTTCCCCTTCTCCTTCAACCCCCTCCCCCCCCCCCCCCGCCGTCCTATCCCCTTCCCCCCCACCCCCTCCCCCTCTTCTCACGTCCCCCTCCCCCTTCTCACGTCCCCCTCCCCTACGTGTATCCTTGCTCCATCTAACAGAAACTTTTGTAAATTCGCGAGAATTTGATTTATTTGTAACGTGTTTCCCTACTTGCTAAAAATATCCTATGGTGCTGCTCTCTGTTTTTCCACTGTTTTGTCCTGTTCCTCCCTCCCTACCCTCCCTAATGCTCTCCTCCAGCTGCCTGCTGCGACAGATGCTCACTCCTCGCGCAGCAAGCAGCTGCAAAGGCATGCTCACATATGAGTTTTGAGAAGTCTCAAAGCACCTGGAGAGGCATGCTCACATATGAGTTTTGAGAAGTCTCAAAGCACCTGGAGAGGCATGCTCACATATGAGTTTTGAGAAGTCTCAAAGCACCTGGAGAGGCATGCTCACATATGAGTTTTGAGAAGTCTCAAAGCACCTGGAGAGGCATGCTCACATACGCGCAGCTCAAATTCACCTCCCCCTTTCCTTCCCCTCCTCCACCCCTCCGCCATTCTCCCCTTCCCCCCTCCCCCCTGCCGCCCTTTCCCCTCCGTTTCCTCGTACCCTCCCCCCCTCCCCCCTCCCCCTCCCCCGCTTTTCCCCGGTGTTCCCAGACCGAGTGCCCATTCTGCGGTGCATTCAGCAGCTGGAGATGACTTTGAGTCGACTCAAAAAGCCGCTGTCTGCCGTATTCCCAGACCGAGTGCGCATCATGCGGCGCATCAAGCACCTGGAGAGGCGGCTGGGGGAGAATACGCGCATACGCAGCTCAAATCAAACCCTCCCCTCCCCTTCCATTCCTCTCCCTTCCCTCCCATCGCCCACTCACCCCGCTCACGTGTATTCCCAGACCGAGTGCGCATCCCACGGCGCATCAAGCAGCTGGGGAGGACTTTTGAGTCATCCCTCCAAAAGCCATCCCTCCCCCGGCCCCCCTTCTCTTCCCCCGCTGTCTGCCGTATTCCCAGACCGAGTGCGCATCCTGCGGCGCATCAAGCAGCTGGAGAGGCGGTTGGAGGAGATTGAGCGAGGGGGGGAGAGCAGAGGAGGGCAGGCGGGCGGGGTGGTTGCGAAAGGAGAGAGTGGGGAGGCGGAGGAGGAAGAGGGGGAAGAGGAAGTGGAAGAGGGAGAGGAAGAAGTGGCAGAAGAGGGAGAGAAAATCGAGGAGCATGGGGACGAGGAGGGAGGGGCGGGGGTAAAGGGAGGGGAGGGAGGAGAAGGAGGAGAGGAATCTGAGGCAGTGGGGAAGAAGCAAGCAGGGGAAGCGTGGGAGGGGGAGTATGGGGGGGACACGGATGATGACGAGGAGGAGGAAGGGGAGGCGGGTGAGGGGCGTGGGACGCACGAGGGCGAGAGGGCGAGGAGGGCGCGCGTGGTGCTGAGTGATTGTAAAGCCATGGGGCGCGAGGAGGTGGTGCAGGAGCTGCGCGTGTGGCGAGGTTACTTGGATTATGTGCTGGTGAGTGGGTGGGTTGAATATCGAGGGAGGGGACACCGGGAGTGGGGAAAGGGAGGGAGGGTTTTGGGGCCGCCCTGAAAGGAGCTGCGCGTGTGGCGCGGGTACTTGGATTATGTGCTGGTGAGTGGGTGGGAGAGGAGGACACAGGGAGAGGGGAGAGGGATGGGGGGAAAGGAGGGAGGGTTTTGGGTGCTGAATGGATGGATGTGGGCGTGTGGCGCGGGTACTTGGGCATGTACTGGTGAGTTGGTGGGCTGACTTTCGAGTTGACTCAAAAGTGGGCGAGGGTGGCCCAGAAAGACTGTCAAGCCATGGGGCGAGAGGAAGTGGTGCAGGAGCTTCGCGTGTGGCGAGGATACTTGGACTATGTGCTGGGTGTGTGGTGCTGGGTGTGTGGTGCTGGGTGTGTGGTGCTGGGTGTGTGGTGCTGGTGTGTGGTGCTGGTGTGTGGTGCTGGTGTTGTTAGTGTTAGCCTTCAATCTCACACTTTGTACTTTGTATTTTCTATATCCTAGAGTAGTGTAGTTTGCAAATTGTGTTTGGTTGGGTGTACACCTACATCCCAACCAAACCCAAATGTAATCTCCAAGCAATCTCCAACCCACCAATTGGAGATTGCCTTGGGATTACCCCCAATCCCTAGGGATTGCCCCCGATTCCCTTCCCCATCCATTCCCTCCCCTTCTTGGATGTACTTAAAGAGCTTCAAGCTCATTACTAATGCATCGCTTCTAAGCCTAAGTTCTCACAGGTGTGTGGTGCTGGGTGTGTGGTGCTGGTGTGTGGTGCTGGGTGTGTGGTGCTGGTGTGTGGTGCTGGGTGTGTGGTGCTGGTGTGTGGTGCTGGTGTGTGGTGCTGGGTGTGTGGTGCTGGTGTGTGGTGCTGGTGTGTGGTGCTGGTGTGTGGTGCTGGGTGTGTGGTGCTGGTGTGTGGTGCTGGTGTGTGGTGCTGGTGTGTGGTGCTGGGTGTGTGGTGCTGGTGTGTGGTGCTGGTGTGTGGTGCTGGGTGTGTGGTGCTGGTGTGTGGTGCTGGGTGTGTGGTGCTGGTGTGTGGTGCTGGTGTGTGGTGCTGGTGTGTGGTGCTGGTGTGTGGTGCTGGGTGTGTGGTGCTGGGTGTGTGGTGCTGGTGTGTGGTTTGGGTCAGGCGGTGATGCTGCTGGCACAGCAGAACAAGCGCGCAGACTTACAGGCCACAAGCGAAACACGTTCACCCACAGCCATCCACAGCAGCTCCAATCCAACATTCGGCACCTTCTTGCAATGCAACCACACTCCCCCACTCTCGTCTCCCTCGCACTCCTTTGCCCGCCTCCCTCCCGTCCCCTCCCCAACCCCCCATTTCATGCAACACCCCATCGCAGTACTTCCCCCTGTGGCCGCACTTCGTGTCAGTGGTTGTGCGAGCACAGCAGCAGCGCCCTTTTTACCACTCTGCATACCCCTTTCCCTTTGCCATCGCACACCCCCAACGCAGTATTTCCCCCTGTGGCGGCACTACGTGTCAGTGGTTGTCAACCACGGGTGTGAGCACAACAGCAGCGCGGACGGCAAGCGGCGGTGGGGGAAGATTCAGGCGCTGATGCTGCTGGCGCAGCAGAACAAGCGGGAGACGGAGGAGAGAGCGCGGAGGGAGGAGGAGGTGCAGCGGGAGGAGAGGCAGAGGCGGGAGGAACGGCGCCGTGCTGGTGGGTTGGGGAGGAAAGGGGGGGAAAGAAGGAGGAAGAAAGAGGGAAAGAGGGAACGGGAAGGGGGGAGATGGGAGATGGGGGAAAGAGGGTCGAGGGGCTTGATTGAGAGAACCCAGCTGAGGGAGAGGGAGCTGGTGACCTTAGAGGGAGCTGGTGACCTTAGAGGGAGCTGGTGACCTTAGAGGGAATGGAGGAAAGAAAGAGAGAGCGAGGGAGTTTCGGAGCTTGATTGAGAGAACTGCCGCGAATCCAGATCTGATTTGCGAGGTGACCTTAGAGGCTGAACAGAAACACCTCATTCTGCTCATGCATTGATATCTATTCTCTCCTCCTCTCTCTCACTCTCCTCGTCAACCCTCTTCCTCCCATCCTAAGTGTCTCACTTGTGCTCTCTGTCTCACATCCCCGGTCCCAAACCCCTGCCTGCTTTTCTGAGCCAAGTCTCTTCCACTCAAAATTTACCTCCCTTGCCCTGTATCCCCCCTTCCCATACCTCTCCTCCCCCTCTCCTTCCCCTCTCCTTCCCCTCTCCTTCCCCTCTCCTTCCCCTCTCCTTCCCATCTCCTCCCCATCTTCCCCCCCTCTCCCCCCTCCTCCTCCCCCTCTCCCCGCCTTCTCAACCTCTCCTTCCCTTCTCCTTCGCCTCTCCCGGCCCTCTCCCCCCCTTCTCCCCTCCCTCTCCTCCCCCTCTCCCCCCCTTCTCCCCTCCCTCTCCTCCCCCTCTCCCCGCCTTCTCCCCCTCTCGCTCCTTTCTCCTCCGCCTCTCTTCCCTCTTTCCTCCTCCTCTACTCCCCCTCTTCAACCCCTTTCCCCCCACTCTCCTCCCCCTGGCAGCATCTCTGCTGGATGTTGCGGAAGTAGAGCTGCAGGACAGTTTTTCCCCTTGTATTATTGCTGTCTTCCCACTGTCCTCCTCGCCCTACTTTTCCCCCTCTCCCCCCCTGGCAGCATCTTTGCTGGATGATGCGGAGGTAGAGCTGCAGGACAGGAAGAAGGTGGCGGGGAAGAAAGGGAAATGACCCTTTATAAACATCAATTCTGTTGGTCGACTCAAAAGCTTGCTCCCTCGCCCTCTCTCCCCCCTCTCTCCCCTCCCTCGCAGCATCTCTGCTGGATGATGCGGAGGTAGAGCTGCAGGACAGGAAGAAGGTGGCGGGGAAGAAAGGTGGGGAGAGGAGTGAGAAGGCTGGGAAGGAGAAGGGGAGGAAGGAGGAGGAGGGGAGAAAGGGGAGGGAGGAAGAAGCGCAGGCGAGCTTGCTGGTTCCTTCTGGATTGGATAAGAAGAAAGTTTTTGTGTATGATGATGACGAGGAGGAGGAAATGGAGGAGGGGGGAGGGAAGGAGAGGGAGGGGGAAATGAGGGTGAGGGAAGAGAAGAGAGGGGATGGAGAAGAGGTGTGGGAGGGAGGGGGGAAGGAGGAGGAGGAGGAGGAGGAGGAGGAGGAGGAGGAGGAGGAGGAGGAGGAGGAGGAGGAGGAGGAGGAGGAGGAGGAGGAGGAGGAGGAGGAGGAGAAAAAGGGGAGCAAGGACGACGGAATGGACATGTGGAAGAGGAAAATGTTTGGCGACGGTATATTTGGCCTTGGGAAGAGAAGAGGTGGTGGTGGTGGTGGTGGTGATGTGACTGGCGGTGGTGGCGGCATGAGTAGCAGTGGTGATGGTAATGCGGGAAGCCTTGGGGGTGGGGGTGGGGAGGAAGAGGAAGAGGATGAGGATGAGGATGAGGAAGAAGCGATGCTGAGGGAGTGGGAGAAGTATGATAGAGAGGCAGGTAGTGATGATAGTGATGGGTTGGATGGGTGGGATGAGGAGGGAGAGGGTGCGGGAGACGGGAGTAGTGACGAGGGGGAGGGGTGGGAGGAGAGGGAAGGGAGAGAGGAGGGGGAGGAGAGAGAGGAGGGGGAAGTGAGTACGGGGAGTGAAGAGGAGGAAGAGGAGGAAAGAGAGGAGGAAGCTGAGGATGAGGAGAAGGAAAGGAACTTTAAGAGGATGAAGGGGATAGTAGGGGCATCAAGAAGTGACGGTGGTGGCAGGGAGGAGGAAAGAGAGGACTGGGGAGAAGGGGAAGAGGATGAGGAAGATTTTGGAGTGGAGGAAGAGGAGGAAGAGGAGGGGGATGTGGCTGCAGAAGCAGGAGGGGGTGCAGGTGCATCAGGGTGGGATGATGATGATTTCTTCCTCTCTTTGGATGAGCAAGGAGAAGGGACCGCTGCTGCTACTGCTGATAGCGATGCTGCTGCTGATGCTGATGCTGATGCTGCTATTGGCAGCAATGTGCAAAGAGGGCGAGGAGGACGAGATAGAGGAGGGATGGAAGGAGGAGGCAGAGGAGGAGACAGGGGAGGAGACAGGGGAGGAGATAAATGGGGAGGAGGAACAGGCATGGGCAGACGGGCATTGGGGGAAAGTGAGAAGGGTGGGTGGGGAGAGGAGGAAGGGAAAAGGGCTGTGGTGGATGGTAATGGTGGTGGGACTAGAATGGGGAGGGAGAAGGGAGGAATGGGAGGGCGTGCAAAGGGAGATGGTTATGGGAGGGGAGGCGGGGGAGGTAGAGGAGAGAAAGGAGGGAGAGGAGAAAGGGGAGGGAGAGGAGAGAGGGGAGGGAGAGGAGAGAGGGGAGGGAGAGGAGAGAGAGGGGGGAGAGGCGATAGGGGAGAGAGAGGAGAGAGAGGAGGGATTAGCACTACACGGGGTGGTGTTGGTTCTCCTGCGGTTGCTTCGTTTGGGAAGGGAGCACCACGGGGAGGAGGGAGGGGGCGAGGAGTGGAGGGGAGAGGAGGGATGGGAAGAGGAGGGGAGGGAAGAGGAGGGATGGGAAGAGGAGGGGAGGGAAGAGGAGGGATGGGAAGAGGAGGGGAGGGAAGAGGAGGTGGCCGTTATGGTGGCAGTGGTGGCAGGGATAGGGATATTGCCATTGAAAGGCGAGGCGGTGGGTTTGGCACAGACAAGAAGAAAGGGGGGTTTGAGAGCAAGAACCAGGGGGGAAATGCAACAGCCGCAACAGCAGCTACGGGGGGCAGTGCTGCTGGTGCCGCTGGTTCCGGTGGTAGCAGATTTGGCGGTGCTGCTGGTGCTGCTGGTGCTGGTGCTAGTGCTGGTGGTACTGGTGGTGCTAGTGGAGAGAAGGTGTTGCTGCCAGCTAAGGGATCAACACGGCTGGTGGAAGGTGTGGAAGGTGAGAGAATGAAGCGGAAGAGAAAGAGGCAGAAAAAGTTGGCGGAGGAAAAGTAGGATTGGAGGAGTTGGGCTGTTTAGGGATTTTAGTTTTCCACGACTGTGTTCAATCATTGGCTGATGTAGATTGATACGGTAAAGTCGTTCATTGCATTGTACCGGTAGTCGTAGTTTGTAATTGCCACAATCAAAACTTTCACAAGAAGTCTCACCTTTGGCTGTTGGTTGGTACAGACAGACATGCAATTTTGACAAAATGTGATGATCGGTTCAGCTAAAGTAATACTTGAGTGTTTGTCAAGAACAAACTTGAAAGCCAAACAGTGTGATGTCAACAATATAAATCTGGTACAAGATGTTTATGGGCATTTGTAACCGCTTGTGTTATATGTACAGTACATCTCGTCGGTGGGGAAACGCCCTTGCTAGAGCAACCGAACGTGTAATGAATATACCTATTCATTCATGTAGGACTCTCCTGAGCGGAGATGTTCGGAGCACTTTGCGTCAATGTGGCCCGGCCTACACTTTTGCCCCAAACCATTTCCGAGCCGCCCGTACCAATCGCGACACTCCCACTAGGTCCTCGCCTAGCACGTTTTAGCCCTATAAATGCTCGTTCCTACTATATTCCTCAATCTGTAATAACCTTTTCTTTATAAAGTCTTCCAAGCACTCTGTTTAGTTCAACTGTTACGGGTGCAATGAATCGAGGTAGCGAGGATTGCACTAGAGTGTCAAACGAGTACAAAATGTGAGCGAAGGCATGAGCGAACATTTATACGCGAAACGTGCAAACGGTAACGCGGTGCGTGCGTGCTAGCTATTGCTAGGCTGGCATCGAGGCTCGGGCTAGTCCCGAAGCGTAGGCCAACACGGCCAGGCCAGCGGTGCATGGTTTTGGTGAAACAGTGCGCGCGAAGTTGGCGAAGCCCCGTTGGCTGTAACAGGCGAACAACGGCTGCTGCTGTACGCGATGTTGTAGGTTGCGGTAAGAAATGTCGAGAAAATTCCTTCCACTACCCCCCCTCCTCAAGAAGCCCCCTCCGCTACGCGAGTTGTTAGAGGTCCACTGGTGATCCCCGATTGATCCTAGGGAAGGGTTACAGACATGTTGGCCTGGGGGGTTATGGGCGCACTGACCCGCTACTTAACAAGCCCTTTTATCCCAGTGGTTAGTGGTTGGGATTCTGATATGGTATCAGAACGAAGGTCTCGGGTTTGAATCCCGGTGTTTGCACTTCGGGCATTCCAGTGCGGGGGGGTGTCAGAGGTCCACCGGTGATCCCCGATTGATCCTAGGGAAAGGTTACATGTACGTTGGCCTGGGGGGTTATGGGCGCACTGACCCGCTACTTAAGAAGCTCTTTTATCCCAATGGTCTAGTGGTTGGGATTCTGACACGAGTGCGTGTATATCGCGGAAACCCCGGCTCATCAGGTACACTTGCAGGGCAGAGTGATTTTTAATGTTGGCCAGGGGCACCCAGCTTTCCTCAGTTGGCGTGCGATCCTTCCAGCAAACGAGGAACTCGATCCTCCTGATTCCCGTGGGGTGTCAAATCCGATGGCTGAGAATTTTTTCGGGCTCGATGATCGGCTCCGATGCAGGGCGAGTCATGGGTGGCGGGAGGTGACGAAGCAGTTGGCTCGTGGTTGGGATGTATGGGCGAAGCAGGCTGACGTGGAATGATGGGCTGATGTACCAATCTGTCGGCAACAGTAAGTGGGCGGTAACTCGGGTAATCATGTGGCTGATTCGGAATGGTCCATAGTAGCGCGGTCGTAATTTCGGCACGACGGGCAGTCTTAAGTTCTGTGTGTCGAGCAGTACGTAGTCTCCTGATTGGTACGTGACTAGGCGGGAGTGGCGGTCATTGTTGCGTTTAGCGATGGCGTTGGCTTTTTTAATTGCTTCGGCGGCTCTGGTGCGGGCAGCTTGCAGAATCTCGGCGAATTGTTGTCCACGTGGCGTTGGGTTGTCCGGACTCGGCGTCTTGGGTACTGTAGGATTTTGCCCGTAGTTCAGGTAGAACGGGGACTGCTGCGTCGTTGCTGACGTGGCGTTGTTGTAGACGAACTCGATCAGCGCAAGCTGCTGCTCCCAAGTCGTCACACGTGGCCCGAATCAACTGCTCCATCGTCTAATTGGTCCGCTCTGTTTGACCGTCGGTCTCGGGGTGGTACGATGAGCTAAACCCTGGTCCCGAACTTCTCCCAGAGGTTCTTCCAGAATTTGCTGGTTAACTTCATGTCACGGTCGCTAATTATCGCGGCTGGTATCCCGTGTAGTCAAACGACGGCTGCGATGAACAGGCGAGCGGTTTCTTCGGCTGAGATCAACTTCTTGCACGCAGCGAAGTGAGCCATTTTTGTCAGTCTGTCAACCACGACCATAACCGCGTCGTTACCCCCAGGGTTCGACGGTAACCCCGCGACGAAATCCATGGTATCCTGCTGCAAGGCGCGCTCGGGCGATGGAATCGGCTGCAACTGACCCGCCATTCTTTTTCGCGAGCTCTTCATCACCTGACACGTAGGACACGAACCCACGTGGTGCTGTACGTCGGTCAACAGCTTCGGCCAGTAGTAATACCGCTGAAGTTGCTGTCTCATTTTTTCAACCCCAAAATGTCCCGAGTCAATTCCGACGTGTGCCTCCTGTAGTAACAGCTCCCTTAGTGTCAAACTTATATGATCTAGCCTGTGTAGGCTGTAGTGGGTTAGATACTAAGGGGTACACAATTCTAGGGTTTCATATTTGTATCACTTTCATTCCTTAGTCAATCCATTCTCGTTCTAAGTTTCTCATGGTATCGAGCAGGTTCCCTCGTGGGAACTGTTCCTAGGGCCCACCAAGATATTTTTTTCCTACCCGGGGCGCGTGCCGCCCCTGCCCGAAGCGCGCCTCGTGTCGCGCCCTCCTTAGCGGCCCCTCAGGCCCCGTCGCTGCCCTCTCTAGGCCCCACGTGGCCCCTTAGCGGCCCCGTCGCCGTCCCTTACGGCCCCGCGACCGCCTCTTACGGCCCCGCGACCGCCCCTTACGGCCCCGTCGCCGCCCCTCACGGCCCCGCGACCGCCCCTTACGGCCCCGTCGCCGCCCCTCACGGCCCCGCGACCGCCCCTTAAGGCCCCGTCGCCGCCCCTTCCGGCCCCGTCGCCGCCCCTTACGGTCCCGTCGCCGCCCCTTACGGCCCCGTCACCGCCCCTTCCGGCCCCGTCGCCGCCCCTTACGGCCCCGTCGCCGCCCCTTTCGGCCCCGTCGCCCCCGAGCCGCGACCCCGTAGCCGCCCTTAGCGGCCCCGTCGCCGTCCCCCCTCCCCTCGGCCTCGTCGCCGCCCTTCAGCGGCCACGTCGCCGCCCCTCCGCGGCCCCGTCGCCGCCCTTCAGCGGCCCCATTGCCGCCCTTTCGCGGCCTCGTCGCCGCCCTTCAGCGGCCTCGTTGCCGCCCCCTTGCGGCCCCGTCGCCGCCCTTCGCGGCCCTGCCGCCCTTCCTCGGCCCCTCAGCCGCCCTTCCCGGCCCCGTCGAGCAGCCGAGCCGCCGTCACCGCCGAGCCGCCCTTGCCGCCGTGCCGCCGAGCTGCCGAGCCGCCGAGCCGCCGCGCTGCCGAGCCGCCGAGCCGCCGAGCCGCCCTGCAGCCGAGCCGCCGAGCCGCCGAGCCACCACGCCGCCGCAGACGAGACGCCGCAGTCCATGCAGTCGCGGCCCTGTCCCTGCCGGCCTGCCTCGGCCCGCCCCACCTGCCTAGTAAGAGCAGCGCCTCTGCCACTGCACTGCCCTACCCCGCTGCTCTCTCTGCCAGTCTACTGCTGTCATGGCCACCCCCAGTGTTCTCACCTTTGACGCTGAGGGTCGGGCTGTTGACTTTGAGGTCTGGGTAGATGATCTGCAGCTTTTCCTACAGTGCGATAGGGCAGACGGTCTCTCTCTGTTTGACCTCACCTCTGGTGCCTCTCCTGCCCCTGCTGCTGATGCTGACGCCACTGTTCGCTCACAGTGGGCCACGCGCGATTCTGCTGCTCGCCTTGCTGTGCACCGCCACTTACCGACCGCTGAGCGCGCGCATTTTAGTCAGTACAAGAGTGCTAAGACCTTGTACGACGCTGTCGGTGCACGCTACTCTTCCCCTGCCACTGCTGCCCTTAGCCGCCTCATACTGCCGTACCTCTTCCCTGACCTCGCCGCTTTTCCCACAGTCGCTGACCTCATTACGCACCTTCGCACTAGTGACATTCGCTACCGCGCTGCGCTTCCTGCTGAGTTCTGCGCCAAGAACCCCCCCCCTATGTACATCACCCTCTACTACATAGTCACCCGGCTCCCTGACACCCTTCGCTCGGTCAGGGACCACTTCCTCTCTGTTTGCCCCACCACCCTCACCGTTGACCTCCTCGAGGAGCGCCTCCTAGCAGCAGAAAAGAGTATAGTCGCTGTAGGAGCCTCTCGTGGTGACCCTCGTACCCCTGTCTTTGAGGGGTGCTCCCCCTCCCCCCTCTTGCCCTCTGTTGCCTCTGCTGCTGCGGCCGACCTCGTTGGTCTTGAGTCGGTCGGCGCGGCGTCTGCCTCTAGCGGGAGACGCCGCTCCGGCAAGGGCAAGGGGGGCAAGGGCGCTGGAGGAGCTGGCGGGGGCGGTGGAGGCGGCGGTGGAGGCGGCGGAGGGGGTGGGGGTGGCGGTGGGAGTGGTGGCGGGAGTGGGGGCACTAGTGGCGGCAGTGGAGGCGGAGGAGGCGGCGGTGGTGGCGGTGCTAGCGGAGGTGGTGGAGGTGGAGGCGGTGGTGGAGGTAGCGGCGGCGGAGGTGGAGCTGGTCGGGGCGGCTCTTCGCAGAGGGTCGGCTCCGGTGGTGGTCAGCGCCAGCAGCAGCAGCAGCAGCGCACTCGTGAGACCCCTTCCCCCCAGCAGCTTTGTGAGTGGTACACTGCTCGTCAGCGGGGTGGGGGTGCTGGCCCCTGTACCTACGTTCTACGTACAGGCGACCACACGGGTGAGCAGTGTGGGGGTCCGCACTCCACCCA